GTAAAGTCATTTTCAAATAATTTTCTTTTCACACTAATTCACTGGCTGGCACCCTTTCCACTTGCACGCAAACTGACAATATAAAGAAATCAAGCCAAAAAGCCTTGCTGACCAAGAAAAATACATGTTGTTTTCAGACAATTAGTTGCACCAGGCTTGCTCATTTTTCTACACACCATGTACATGTTATAGTTTATATTATAATGCCTGCGTAATAACTCTAATGATGTTCAAAAGATACAGGGTTAACATTTGAATAAACTATATTTTATAGCTTATAGCTTTATTTCTACGCCAGGGGTAGCACATTCACTCCAAATGTTTTAATCAGCTATTGAATTGAATACAAACAATTCAGAAAATAAAATGTACACAAAATCTAACAATGAATTACAGCTTAAAGAAAATGTGAATTTAAAAAGAAGTGTTAAATTATTTAAAGCTGAAAAACACAAGTTCAGCACTACTGATTCCTTGTTTTAAAACACTAACATATTACACCATTTAGAATATTATCTATTTTATCTACAAACAATATTCAGGGGGTAAAAAATATGACTTTGCATTTTAAATGCAATTTCATTGTAAAAAGTTATTTTGCATGTCAGGTTTTTGGAAAAGCGTTGGGGTTTTTCACTTTGCCTATTCCCTCCATCAAAATAATCTTGACAATGTTAATTTAGAAATTGCAAGGCCACTGTTAATTTTTAATAAAGCACCTAAATGAAATAATTATAAAGCCAATCAGTGTGCCACCTTTCTAAATTATAAAGCAATTACATTAGGAAAAACCTGCAAATGAATATCATGGGCAGAGCTGTTCACATTCCAATTATTAATCTCCAAATAAGCAAACAAAACCATGTATCCTGGAAGATGAATGAATTCCATGTTTCCAATTACACAGGCTGGCCATGCAAAAGGAAAAAAAAAAAAAAGAGAGACTGGCGCCCTCTTTAAATTGTGTTTGCTAATTTTCTTTAACCCTTTCAAGAACACTAGGCAGCCCACAACTGGAAGATTATCTTTCGTGAGAACTATCATCTACAAAGTCTTGCTTCCGAACACGAGGCTACTATATGTTCTCTGGAATGTTTGAGATGAATTATCAACTTTTGCAAAAACATCAAAGTCTATTTCCTTTTAAATGATTGGCTCTGCCAATTAACCTGTCATCGTGCTATGCCTAACAATTCAAACATTCATGGGGAAGTGTCTAGTGTGAAGTTTGCCGTTATTTCACAGAACTCAGCCTATTCTAATAAGGATACAACACCAAAAGTTTAAATTACCAACTGTATGTATTTCGTTCATATTTCTAGGAAAGGGTGTAAAATGTAAAGAACATCTCCAGGTTTGGAAGACATACACAACAAGAGTAAATCAGCTAGTTTGTGCTAATTCACTAATCCCATGCTCTCACATCAATGCTGATCCTCCTCGCACAAAAGCTGCTAAACTTTATGCCTCTGCCTGTGTTAAGTTTTATTAGCCTCACACTGAACTCCATTTGTTATCCACTTCAGTCTGAAAAGAGCAAGTGGGTAAACAGAGTAAGTACATATGCCACCAAAAACCCCAGCATCCGCTTTACTCCCATTCTGTTTCTCAAAGCTATTTATTTAAAAGGTGTAGATCAGTTAATCCAGTCTTGTTTGTGGTGTTCTGTGTATTTACTTTACCTCTTTCTCTTCCCTTTCTCTCTTCTCTTGGAGAAAGTGAGTGTCTGGCATGATTCATCTAGCCCAGAGTCCTTGTTTGCCCCCTGCAGAAAACGCCTGGCCATTCTACCATTCAAAAAGTATATCAAGAAAAGTATCACTTTTCTGATCACTTAAAAACCATCCGACATTGTACATGCGGCATGTAAAATAAAATAATCCCACCTCTCTTTCTAAACCATGATAACACATGACAGATCACAATTTATTATATCTAAACGTCTACAAAACTGCAGTACAACTTTCCTCTGGTTCCTTTGTTAGTAAAGGGCTATTCTAATTAGCTATAAACCACAAAGTTATGGATAACTTTCCGATCTGATCTATAAAACTAGAACATATCAGTAAATCTCGAAGTTCTTTGTATTCACTTGCAATCACATCAGCCAGGCAGCTGGAAAGTCATCTAATCTGAGTCGTACTGAGAAGTGCTTCTGGTGAGAGACTCAGTAAGGAAGAGAGCTGCATGTGGGTTCCCTCCCTCCAGCGTCCAGATGTGGGAGGACTGTGTTAAAGATACAAAGTTTCAGCCAGCACAAGGCTGGCATGTAGCTAACTTTGGGAGTCAGGATAGTTTGAAAATCGGCCAGAAAATGCTTGATGGAAGTTGAGCTCTGCACTTTCCTTAGAGAAATGGGGAGGGAGTAGCACTGTATGAGATGAGTAACCACACACTAATTGTTCTTTGAGCTTACATTTGCGCGCCTAAACTCTAAAATTGCTTAACATAATTCTCACTTCATGGAATATGTCTGTGGCAGATCGTAACAGTGGTGGATTACAAGGGCACAACAGGCAGCCGTCCAGTAACTCAGACTCCAGGGATGCCCATGGGGATGTTAAAAAGTTCTGCACATCACTTCATAGTAAGTCAATTCCATCTTTGCAAGTCTTTAGACTTTTTGTGCAGAAAGTGATAAGCAATAGCAGGCTTTGTACTGCTCTCCATAAAAATGTCCTTGTTTGATATAATCATACACAATATGTATGCACACTCCCTATATCTGTATTGTTTGCATATCATCAGCTTGCATCATATGGTCTGAACTCATTGAGAAGTCAGTTCTATACAAATGTTTCACAAACACATGTCAGAAGCAACAAAAAAAAAAAAAAACAAATGCCTGTGTATACTGACCCTTATGCATGATCTAATTAAACATGGGGGGCAGGGATTGAAAACAAACATGGGCCCATGTTATAATAAATCCATCGCTGAATTGTACAGACTAGGAATCTAGTTAGCTCAGATGACTGTATGTCCCATGTGTGCAATAAAGGCATCAGCCTGTACATGTTTTTTTTTTCTAAAGCAGGGCTGGACAAATCCCAGAGCCAGGTAGCCAATGCTCCTTAAACATTTCAGCTGGCACCTAACTTTTGAGGTTTCTCTAGTTGTTGTCAGTGGAGTTGGCTCCTAAAAATCCTGCTGGCTCCTGGATTGGACAAACTTGACATAAACCCTACATTAGATGATGGGCATAAATCCTACATCAGATGATAGCCACAAACCCCTACATTATTTGATGGGCATAAACCCTCCATTAGATGAAAGGCAAAACCCCTACATTATATGATAGCCACAAACCCTACATTTGATGACAGCCATAAACCTTAAATTAGATGAAAGGCACCAACCCTACATTAGATGATAGTCATGCCACCTACATTAGATGATGGGTATAAACCCTACATTAGAAGAAAGGCATAAACTCTACAGTAGATGATAGGCATAAACCCCACATTTGATGATGGGCATAAATCCTACATTAGATGATGGGTATAAACCCTACATTAGATGACGGGTATAAACCCTACATTAGAAGATGGCTATGAACCCTACATTAGATGATGGGTATAAACCCTACATTAGATGATAGGTAGAAACTAGATGATGATGGGTAGAAACCATAAGCATAAACCCTTCAAAAGATGATAGCTATAACCCTTCAAAATATCATAGGCATAAACCCTACATCAGATGATGGGCATAACCCTACTTTAGATGATAGACATAACCCTACATTAGATGGTAGGCATAAACCCTATGTTAAATGCTAGGCATAAACTATACTTTAGACTATAGTCATAAACCCTACGTTAGATGCTAGGCATAACACTACAAAAGATGCTAGGCATGACCCTACTTTAGATGATAACCATAAACCCTACATTAGATGCTAGGCATAAACTATACTTAGATTGTAGGAATAAACCCTATGTTAGATGCTAGGCATACCCTACAAAAGATCCTCGGCATTATACTACATTAGATGCTAGACATAACCCTACAAAAGGTTAAAGGCATTACCCTACATTAGATGTTTAGCATGACCCTACATAAGATCATAGGCATTACCCTACATTAGATGTTCAGCATGACCCTACGAATGGTCTTAGGCATTACCCTGCATTAGATGTTCAGCATGACCCTACAAATGGTCCTAGGCATTACCCTACATTAGATGTTCAGCACGACCCTACAAATGGTCTTAGGCATTACCCTACATTAGATGTTAGGCATGACCCTACAAATGGTCCTAGGCATTACCTTACATTAGATGTTCAGCATGACCCTACAAATGGTCCTAGGCATTACCCTGCATTAGATGTTCAGCATGACCCTACAAATGGCCCTAGGCATTACCCTACATTATCTGTTCAGCATGACCCTACAAATTGTCCTAGACATTACCCTACATTAGCTGTTCGGCATGCCCAGGCTGTGTGCAGCTGCAGAGATGCCCCATCCAATATGTGACAAAAGTTTGCAGAGAAAGTTAGAAGCAGCACCTAAAGTTGCCATCTGTTTCTCCAGCAATCGCAGCTCTCTCCCCTCCTCGGAGCGTGTGCTTCATTGTAAAACAAAAGACTCTCCCACACTCACACTTCTCTCAGAAGACTTCATCAGAAAGCTCGTACCTTCCATCCAAGGGCTCCCCAGAGCTGACCATGGGCTCCACAGTCCCGTCCCCCTCTCTCTCTCCCCCACCGGGTGTCAGCGGGCTGCCCCCCTGGCTCTTCTGCCTCCCTCCTAGCAGCCACTTACTGAGCCCCTTGGCTCTCTCATTTGTCTTCGCGGACTCCCGCATCCCTCTCCGAGATCCTGTAATCCGATCGTCTCCCTGTGACTCTCTCCTAGCACCGCTGACATTTCTGATTTCTTTTCTATCCCTTGACTTTACATAGATCGGAAACAAAGTAACGAAGTAGAAAGAAAACAGAACAACGGCCGGGATGTGACAATGACACAAGGCGCAGGGATCAGCGCATACTCACACGTTTCCTTCCAAAGTTTCTCCGCTCAACTCTTCCTTCTCTCACTTTGGCATTTCTTTCCTCCTCTCTCTTTTCCTTCACGTCCTCCTCTTTTCTCCCTCCTCCTCCTCCTCCAGTCCAAGTTTTACAGATGTTGCTCCTCTCTCAACTTGCAGAACCCAGCGGCAGCTCCGAGGCTGCAGAGTGGCTCACATACAGTCAATGGTTGGGGGGGTGCCACAATGGGGCTGATTTACTGAGGTGCTTCTTCCTTTAAGCTTACAATATTAGTTCTAGGCTTCATTTATTTAGCTTTCTCCTCCATCCCCCTAATAAATGAAAGCGACAGGAGAGATATAGGAGGGAGTGGCATAAGTTGGGAAAGACAGAGAAGAGAGTGGGAAGTAGAGGAGGAGGGGTGTGTGAGTGTGTGAGTGAGTGTCTGTCCCCCGTGGCTGGCTCGGTAATGTGTGTCAGTGAATGGAGCCGTGTGTGAGCTGGTGAACATGCACAGCGAGGGAGACACACACGTGTGGCGCCACCCCTCTCCTCCCGGGCATTCCAGCTCCCACTTAGCGTTGAACCACTGAGCGGACACTCCCACCGCATCTAGGAGGGGGGGGAATAGAGCAGGAAGGAGGGAAAATAGAGAAGAGGGGGGTATTGGCAGCATACTGGAAGTCTGTGTGAGAAGTGTGACAACAGCAGTGCTTTTAACTCATTTTTACTTCACGATCTTGCTGCTGTCCGCTTTTCTAAGCAGGCACTTTTTATTACAACAAATGCTTTCATTTTGTGTAATACTGAAGGCAGATTGATTCCGTCTTTTAAATATACATAAAGTGAATCTTTTAAAGATTTTTTTAAAGAATAGATAAGGTGACTGTAGCCATATTAATGAACTTGAAACACCACAATTGAGTACTATCTGTGATACTTGTTTTATTTCCATACCAGTTACATTATTAGGACGAGCTTTTGAGGTGTAACCGTTTAGTCAAAGGTCCAGTTTTCAAAGTGTAACCCCTTCGTCCAAGGTCTGGCTTTGAGGTGTACCCTCTATGTTTAAAGCCCAGCTCTTGAGGGGAGAATCCCTTCATCTAAGGTCCAGCTTTTTAGGTGTACACTCTTTGTCTATGGTTCAGCTTTCAGAGTGTTACCCCCTTCGTCTAAGATCCAACTTTCAAAGTGTTACCCCTTTGTCCAAGGTCCAGCTTTTGGGGTGCGCCCCTTTTGTCAAAGGTCCAGCTTTCAGGGTGTGCCCCTTTCGTAAAAGGTCCAGCTTTCAGAGTGTAATCCCATCGTCCAATGTTCTTCTTTTGGGGTGTGCTCCCTTCAGTTAAGGTCCTGCTTTTTAGGCCTTGTTCTCACCAAATGCAGAGCAGATCCGCTCAGGTTTCTGCGCACGCAGTACAGTGGGTATTGCCGCGTTTTTGATGCGTTTCGGGACTTTTTGGTTAAAAAAAATTGTTTCGTTTAACATGGGCTTTCAGTGCGTTCCAGGCCTTTGCATGCGTTTTGATGCGTTTGCATGCGTTCCAGAGCAGGTAAAATAGGGCTTGCTGCAGTTTTTCACCTGCTCTGGAACTGCACGCTGCGATGTGAACTGGAGCAAAAAATAATATGGGAATACATTGGACCCAGTTTTGATCCGGTCTGCAACTGCTCTGCTCCGCACTTGGTGTGAACAAGGCCTTGGAGTTCACCCCCTTTGTCTAAGATCCAGCTTTCGGGGTGTACTCCCCTTTGTCTAAGGTCCAGCTGTCAGGCAGTACCCCCTTCATCTTAGGTCCAGTTTTCAGAGTGTAACCCCTTCATCCAAGGTCCAGCTTTTGGAGTGAAACCCCTTCGTCTAAGCTCCAGCTTTCAGGGTATTTGTCTGTGTTCCTGCTTCTTCACGATGTGGTCGACGCGTAACGTAGTATGATCAGCCAAGTCACATGTGTGATTTTGCAAGTGCAGCAACAGCTCGAGCATGGGTGCATAAAGTATGTGGTGAAAATATCAACAAGCACAGAGGTGAAGCTGGCCCTACACTGGTAAAAATGGGTACAAATGTTTATACAGAAAACCTCATTAGAACATTTGATAATAGCATCAGGGACTTGACAAATTTTATTCAAAGTTTCATTCGATTTTGAAATAAATGGAGTTTCCTGACAAAAAAACACATTCACTGTTAGAATTTTGTTTGTTCGACTATAATGCTCCATTATGCTCCTTCAGGGTTTTTTCGTCACTGCGGTCAAAGCGATTGTCGATTTAACCCCATTAACTATTAGAAAATCGAATTCCAAAAGCAAATTTTTGGTTGCATAAAGTATGCTAGCTTTGCAGTTAGCAAAGCGAGCAGAATACTATCTTGTAAACCACAGTATAGGGAATAAACTAAAAACTCTGACGATGACACAAGACCACAACATGAGGTTTGACTAGAGGTGGTTTATTCTCACACTGCGTAAGGGTTTTGTTTACTGTAAGAACATAAAAAATGTGGAATTCCCTACCACAGATATTGGTATCAGCTGAGAGCGTTGATAAACTGATGGGAACTATTAACCACATGTACACACACACATACACAGTAGGTTCAGGGGCGTAATTGGAAATCACAGGGCCCCCTAGCAAAATTTTGTATACCCCCCAAATGCTCCCACCCAATAAAAAAAAGGACTTGCCTCCTGAACGTGTTCCCGAGCCTGCACCGTCTCCGTCTCTTCAGCTCTGCTCCTGCTGGCTTTGACGTCAGAGTCCAAGAAGACTGCAGAGCTCACCATAGACCCCGCAAAGCCCACCTGAAATCCCGCACATCCCCCCTGAGACCCCGCACATACCAGTGACCCTACACAGCCCACCTGAGAGTGACCCTACAGAGCCCACCTGAGAGTGACCCTGCAAAGCCCACCTGAGGCCCTGCTGAGCCCAGTCGAGACCCTGCACATACTAGAGACCCTGCATAGCCAACCTGAGACCCCACACAGCCCACCTGAGAGTGACCTTGCAGAGCCCACAATTGATCCTGCACAATCAACCTGAGACTCTCTATAGTGGGTTCAGGGTCTCAGGTGGGCTGGCCTTGCACTGTACATGTGCGCTCCTCTTGTCAGCCCCGGCCTCCTCCACCACCGGTAGTGGTGTAACCAGAGTTACGGGTGCCCAAGGCAGAACAAAATGTTTGCCCCCCCCCCCATTGTATTAACCCCCCCATCCACCCTGTTCCTCTAATTGTAAGGCTAATTCCTGGTGGTTCTGCCACTGACTCCATCTGTAGAGGGACCACAAATCCCACCAATACATCATACAGCAATGCAGAATACCACCATCTATAGAGTACTATAAATCCCAGCAATACAATATACAGCAATGCAGTATACCGCCCGCTATAGAGGACTACAGATCCCAGCAATATATTATACAGCAATGCAGTATACCGCCAGCTATAGAGGACTACAGATCCCAGAAATACATTATACAGCAATGCAGTATACCGCCAGCTATAGAGGACTACAGATCCCAGAAATAAATTATACAGCAATGCAGAATAATACCAGCTGTAGCGGAATACAGATTCCACTAATCTATTATACAGCAATGCAAAATAATATGCAAGTACACACTCTGTGTTGCTCACTAGGGCTGTGTGGCATCTTACAAGGTTGTGTGGGGTCTGACCAGAGTTGTGTGCAGGATCTGACCAGGGCTGTGTGCAGGGTCGCACCAGGGCTGTGTGCAGGGTCGCACCAGGGCTGTGCATTGTCTCCAGGGCTGTGTGCAGTCTCACCAGGGCTGTGTGAGTGGATGTGGTCTCACCAGGGCTGTGCTGAGAATCCCCAGTGCTGTACGGGGTCTCACCAGGGCTGTGTGCAGGGTCTCACCAGGGCTGTGCGCAGTCCCACCAGGGCTGTGCGCAGTCCCACCCGGGCTGTTCATGGTCTCCAGGGCTGTGTGCCGTCTCACCAGGGCTGTGTGAGTGGGTGTGGTCTCACCAGGGCTGTACCAGGACTCCCTAGTGCTGTACGGAGTCTCACCAGGGCTGTGCGCAGGGTCACACCAGGGCTGTTCATGGTCCCCAAGGCTGTGTGCAGTCTCACTAGGGCTTTGCGAGTGGATGTGGTTGGGACTGCCCAGTGCTGTACGGGGTCTCACCATGGGTGTGGGGCGGTCCCAGCACTGTCCCTGTGCATCACCAAAATATACCCAAGGAAACTACAAGTCCCAGCATGCCCTTATTGTAACTGGACACCCCCTAAATATCAATAAGGTAACTACAAGTCCCAGCATGCCATCATTGTCCATGTACATTATCCCTGCACCCCCCACTGGGGAAAATAAAGGCATGCTGGGACACAGCAGTGCCAGCCTCATCCGCCGCTACCGCTGGAGCGGACGCTGCTGGGCCTTGGCTTCCTCCACTGCTGGGCCCCAGCCTCCTGCCCGGGCCGCCCTCTCCCCCGGGCCCCATAGCGACCACATTAGTGGCTATGGCAATGGTTAAGATAGTGAGTAGGTTGAGCTGATTTGGACTTTTTTCAGCCTTTCCAATTGTGTAACTTTGTAAAATTCTGCTGGTGTATGGCCAGTTTAAGATTCCAGCAATTAAAATATCTAGTTCACGAAATTACCTCTTAGTTCTTTTTTAAAGTGACACCTTAATTAACCTTAATTTGTGTACCTTAATTAACAAAAATGTATCTTATTTGCCTATCACTGGGCTGTAGATCCTCAAATCATCTCTGACACTGACCTTCCTTCTGGAGGGTGGCTACCTCTGTTCCCAATAGTCCCTGTGTGTGTTGTAAAGTAGCCACTGCTCCAAGCTTGCTTCCATGCTTCCTTGCTCATTTGGGGGCGGCCCATGCAAGTCACTGATTACCATTTGTTTTACTTTATTGAAATGTCACAAAATGACTTTTTATTTGTTTCTATGCACTGCCGATAGGGTTGCATTGCTGCGGTGGATGGTGACTTTAGTTGAGATGTGGTGCCTTGTGGAAAAATGCAGCACTGCAATCTACCTCAAGGCAGCGTTGTGTTGTAAACAGGGCACATAGAAAAAGAAAAATTCTGTCTGCCCTGGTTTTGA